ACTCTAACCTTTCCTCCCGCGTGTTGCAAGCTACTCTAACCTTTCCTCCTGCGTGTTGCAAGCTACTTTAACCTTTCCTCCTACGTGTTGCAAACTACTCTAACCTTTCCTCCTGCGTGTTGCAAACTACTCTAACCTTTCCTCCTACGTGTTGCAAACTACTCTAACCTTTCCTCCTGCGTGTTGCAAGCTACTTTAACCTTTCCTCCTACGTGTTGCAAACTACTCTAACCTTTCCTCCTGCGTGTTGCAAACTACTCTAACCTTTCCCCCCGCGTGTTGCAAGATAATACTTTCATCTTGCGTCTTGTAATTTTTGCTTCACCTTTCCTGCCTACTGCATATACTGCATGTTGCAATCTCTACTTCACCTACCTACTGCTAATCAGCTTAATCTCCTTGTATCTTGCGTGTTGCAAGTTCTACGAACGAGAGAGTTTCGCATCTGGGTTGTTAAACTGATAAAGCCATTTAAATTGCTTCTGGTTAATGAGAACAGCCTCACCTGTATCGTTCAACAGACACAAACAATAAACTAACATGAACACCTGGCGGGGTCTCTGTTGAGTCAGCGTGGCCAGGTGTACCTATTCATTACCTTAATCATTAGACAATTTGACTGTAAAAAAGATACCCCTTCCCTGTCTCAGGTGTTTGATCTATAATACGTATTATTTATTTTTGTTCTCTTTCTCTTTTCCTTCAGGCTGGTCTTAACACCTACAGTACAATAAATAGGTTCTTCAAAAAAGCTTCTGTGTAAAAATATAAATACCGGAAGAATAATACGGTAATAGTAGTAGTAATAATATTATTATTATTATTTTATTAATATTAACAATATAAATAATATTACTAATAAAATTAATACCGTTATGAATACATACATTATCATTATAATGTTATGCCTTATTAGTCATTAATATTATCATACCATCAACTGATAGTTCAACCCAAAGAAACATCGCATGACGACAGATAAGACAAACATAGACATTTAACAGTAACTAACTAGTAAATACACGCTCCTACCTGGACCCAGGAAGTCAGATCAGCTGATTGCCAAAATAACAAGTCTCTCCCCGACACGTGGTTGAGGGGCAGCCAGACCCGTCGACCGTCTTGACCTCATCGACTTACGTTTACTTGGCAAGTGTTTGATACACCTCGACACCACGCCTGTCTGTCTGTCTGTCTGTATGGACGCCGAGAATGGCTTCAACCAATTTCACATGCTCCTTCTTGGCTGAATCGACTACCTATCTAACATTGTTTATACAGCTACCTGCACTGTCTAATGTACGTACAACACCAACGTGAACGTATATGACAATTTTATTGAATCTTACTAAATCTATGTAACGTTACGAAGCCTTAGTAACAGAGCGAGTGAAATAGCAGTAGATAAGCCCGTAGAGTTATTGAGTCCTAACCTAGCAGCGCGGTGGTGTTCCTGAGGTCACAAGGTTGAAGGTCGAGGGGGGCGAGGGTCACCGCCTTGCTCCACTTGTCTTCTCAATATTTGAAGGCACGTGGAGCCAACAGTGTATTGTCACTCCTCTTCACACTTCCATGAACTCGGTAACGCCTTCGAAATCCATGGATGACAATGATGGGAGATATCTTGAAAAATAATATCAGTCCTGAATATTACATGTTTGACTCGCTGGCTGTTAAATATAAGTGTATATATGCTAATGTGACGTACACACCGTATATAAAAACTACTATTAAACATAATTATATTTTCACAACAAGACATAAATTACATGCTTCTCTCATAGTTCCAACACACACACACAGACAGACACACACGACATGACAACAAAAACGATGAGATTAACAACTGGCTAATGTAAGAGGAAAGGTATTAAGTCCTTAACTTATTTTACCAGTGATCAAACTATCTAGTGATCAAACTACCCAGTGATCAAACTACTCAATGATCAAATACACTGTCGTACATCAAGGCCATTAGACGAAGGCGATACAGTAACTTGGGTTGAAGAGGTCAGGTGGTGGTGGCAGACGGGGTCATACAATACAACCTACAGATCGTTGACAATATTGTTGAGTGAGATCAACAGATCGGCGCCAGAGACATTGATAAAAACTCTCAACGGTAACCTGACTGTTAAGACTCAACAGATACAGGAACTAATTGTATCATGACCTTTTATTTATACCTGTGGGCGACAATTCAGTGACTGTCAGTACCTATACCTCCTCGGTACCATCACAACAGCCTGGCAGTTTTGGTTATATCAAAGACTAAGTGGAATCCTCACCTGGTCTGCTTTCAGTGTGTTCAGTCACAAGTGAGTAACACTCGCCTCGTGGACCTTAACAACAGTGTCCTCAGGTAAAGAGCAGGTGTGCTGGGAGGAGCCCGGGAGAGGTGGAGTACTTCATGGTGTACAGTGCAGGCAGTCAGTGGCATGAAAACAATGCTCGCCTCATGTAACTCATGTTCACTAGGAGTAATACCTAATCCCTCCCTGCTCCCTTAGGCACGCAAGCGCGCGCAGGTATACATGCGCACCTGCGCATGTATGCTTATATCCGCGCAGGCGCAAGAACACTTACATAGAACACACGCGTGTACACATGCAGGCGCGCGCAAATGTACACACATAAACAAATGTACAGACACATTACAAGGGAGAAAGACTTGTTTACCTACTGAGCATCAAGTGGTTTTTATCACACAAACGCCTCTTACACCAAGCAATATATGTAAATAAGCTTCTATACACAAGTATACAAAATGACAAACACATGTATACTGTAGATGTGCTTGAGTAAATATAAAAATGTGTATACAATATATAATGAATATACAGTAGATTAAATATATATACATGTATAAATATATAATATTTAATATTAGTGTATACAAACATAAGAGGTGATGGGGCAGCACCAGCACACCACAACCCCCACCACCGAAGTCATTAAACTTTGACATCGTCCCCATCAGATAATACCATTTGGGGAACAACACATCCGCTGGAGCAAAATATAAAACATCTTGTTTTAATCAGAATCTGAAGAAAAAGAAAAAAACGTTCGAAACGCATTTTTCACACGTGCTTCAGGCTGGGCGCGCGAGCGAGGGACCCAGGCCCCGGAGTGAGCGTATTTCCGCCTGTGCCAAAACAGACGGAGGCGGCTCGGTCTTCTCATCTCGTGAAATGAATTATGCTTATTATATTCTTAATGGACTCACACTGTACACCTGGCTGATGTAGATACGGTGTTTACATACGTGTCGGCAATCACTCTAGGCTGGTCATCCGTGATAAACAATCCCGAGAAACAACAATATACACAAGAGTATATAATACACTACATATATCTCTGTTGGAGTGGATCTTTAAATTTTGAAAATATTGCTGAACAAAGTATTTAAACTGTCAGCAAAAACACAATTACACACAGCACAACTCACTTAAACAACTTTCTAACTGACACAGAAGAGGGTAGGGTGAAAAATGCACATGATATGGTCTTCCGCGAAGCTGTATTGCAACGCAAAAATGAACCTTCCCTTCAACTGAAATTGGAAACGAAACACAATGGATGAGTTTCCATTACTTCTCAGGGGGAGAGAGAGGGAGTCGTGATCGCTAGCAGTGACGAGCGAGGCTTCACAACGCTCCCCAGATCTAACCCTCCACCACACTACCCTCCTCCCCCCAATCGACCTACGATACGTCACCCTGCACACCAAACCTAATCAACATCCAACACACACCTAATTCCAATCAGGTGGAGCCAGCCGCCAGCGCTCACCATGAACTAACTCAGCCACTGACCCCAAACGGAGAGAAGAGAGGTGAAATAGTGTGAAAATTTTGGCATTCTGCAGTAACGTGGCAGCGGACTTGATGCGGCATCTAATTTCCTCCCCCTTTGGATTTGTTCTCGGCCAGAAAAATATCGTTCACTAAGAAAAAAAAATAAATAAATAAATTGGAGAAACAGGCGAGTGAGGAAGATTGGTTAGTTTGCTGGACTGGAGGGTGATTTATTTTGTATGTTTCATGAAATTTGTTCCTGAAGGGATTATTGTCCCAGACGCCAGTTAAAACATTATTTCCACGCGCACTTTATCCCCCGTCCTTCTATTTCGTGTCGGTCTGTATGATCGCTTAATGACGTGTACATGTTTATTTACCCAGCAACACTTCATCAATCATATATATATTGTATGTTTTCGTTCATAGTTGTGGCGGTGTTTACCTACGTTGAGCGGCACATCCCCTCATTTATTCACCCATGTGTATTACGATATAAAAGATGCAATTCTTACCGGAATAGCTAAGTAAATTTACCCTTTCAAAATAAACATTAATGTTTATGAAAGATATTCTAGAAACTACCCCAATTAAAAAGCTCGTCATAAACATTAATTCTGATATATAAATCAACCCAACTAATGCCAGGGTTAATAAAAACAAAATCTAACACTTCACTATTTTGTTGGAAATTCACGTTTTCCAAATTCTCGCGATATTCAGTTGACTCCCTCCTCCTCCTCCCCACTTGACTAACGGCCTCTTTCGTGTTCAAAATTGGCCGGGCAAGAGGAGTGTGGTGGAGGCCGGGCAGTAACACTCAGTAACGAGTTACCTCCAGCCCCTGACACTTCGTTAACGGGCAGTAATACTCAGTAACGAGTTACACCCAGCCCCTGACACTTCGTTAATGGTTAGTAGCACTCAGTAACAAGTTACCTCCTGTCTCTGACACCCTCGGCATTTCAGTCACTTGATACAACACTCCCGGCGGTAACACGAGTGTCCAGCTTAGCCGTGACATAACCATCAGTTACAAGTAACTCTCACATGTAACCCCGGCCGTAATAAAGTGCCCTCAGCTTGAGCTGTGTCCAGCCCTCACACTCACTCTTCACAATTGAGTAAATAAAAAAAGCGTTGGCGAAATATACTGTATTTATACGCATCGTGCCACCTTAAGTGTTGAACAAGTCTTACCTTGCAGTAGTTCCGAACTGTTGTTGGAGATCACTTGCTGTACTGTACACTAATAATCCCTTAAGCCGACTGGAGAAGACATCATCCTAATGTTAGCGGGCCCCCAAATGGACTTAGTCTCACACAAACACTCGTTCACTTCCAGTCTCAAAGAATCCAAGTTCCAAATCCAGGATGAGAAAATAAATAAAAATAACAATATACTTTAAAGCACCAATAGGTTCCACCGCGTCGAAGCACTCAAGAGACCACAGTCACAGTAACACTATGTACTCATAGGCGTCACGGATACACTAAGAGTAAGCGCTAGACACAAAGTCCACAAGGTACTAGAACAAAGTTGCCAAAGCCGGAGCAGAGAGGCGTACGTGCTCCCTCCCCGGTGTCTGCAAATGGACTGGCCATTCTTCAGACAGCTGTACTCACAGGCAATCAGTCTCAGTGCCAGGATGCCAGCTCCAGGAATTTACTTTAGCAATTTCATGGGGGAGGCCCTCTCCGGAAAATCAATCGGTTTGTCTTGGGATATTGGTGCTGAAACTGATGTGTATATACAGACGTAGTTGAAATACGTTATATGATTCACATTTACACTGTAATATTGTTTTTAATCAACTCCCCCAATAGAAGAAAGTTACGCTCGGTCCGGGGCCTTAAGCTCATTGAGTGGGAGAGCACGTGTGGATGCTCGATGAGTGGCCGCGCAGATCAGCACGCGCAGAGCTCGCGCGGTGAGTGGCGCGTGTCAGAATAAGTGATCATGGCAATTAAGGCAATTGTATGTTTGTTTGCGCATATTGATGGTTTGGCAGGGAAAGGTGGAGATAACACATCTTCAGCGGCGACAAAATGTATAATATAGCTTTGGGTGACGCACTGGTTGTTACCAAGGTATCTCTAGAGGTCTTATGTGGGCGCTAAGGTTTATTTACAACGCTGTGTATGCATGTTTACACACACACATAATATATATATATATATATATATATATATATATATATATATATATATATATATATATATATATATATATATATATATATATATATATATATATATATATATTTTATATATATATATATATATATATATATATATATATATATATATATATATATATATATAATTTTTTTATAATTGCAACTAATCAATAATTTAAAATTATTTTCCTAGAAAATCGAAACTTAATGTGTGTGAAGAAGCAATCATGTTCATATTGTAAGAATATAATCAATACTAATCTAACCTGGCTTAGCCTAACCAACCTAATTTAAGTCAAGTTTTGTTCTGGTAATATAGCCAAGGGCATATTACTGTAATTATCGTAGTAAGTTTATCGTATAATTATTAATTTCCTCTGAATAATAACAAACAATAATACCAAATGTTTCTGTATTGTGTTGCCTCCTAAGGTGTGATGACACTTGACAAACTTATCTAGTATCCACACCACACCTCACACACACACCACACCCACCACCTCACACCACACCAAACACCACCTCACACCACACCACACCTACACCTCCTACGCACCTACACCTCACCACAAACCACACCTGCACTCACACACCACACCCCACACCTCACACACCACACCACAGCTCTCTCACACCACCCACACCACCCACCTCACACACCACCACAGCTCCACCTACCTCACACACACACACCACACACCACAACACCACCTCCACACCACACACACACCACCACACCTCACACCACACACACCACATCTACACCACACACCACACCACACCACACACACCACACCTCACACACACACACCTCACACCACACACACACACCACACCACACACTCACACCACACCACACCACACCACCACACACACCTACACCTCACACCCACACACCACACCACCTACCACCTCACCCACACCACACACCACACACACCTCACACACACACCTCACACCCACACACCCACCACACACACACACTTCACACCACACACCACACCACACCTCACACCACACCTCACACCACACCTACACCTCACCACACCTCACACACCACACACCACACCACACTCACGACTCAGGACTCCAGGACATAAACACAAGTATAATAATTGTGATATGCCTAAAATAACGTACCTGCAGTAGAATGTCATCTCTACAGTGCCATAATTAGTGCCATGTCTAGGGTGTCATGTCTTCAACGCCATATCAACAGTGTCATATCATTCAAGGGTGACATGTCTACAGTGCCATATCTACAGGGTCATGTCATGGATGTCAAACTACATTGCCATATCTAGTGTCATGACTAGGATGTCATGTCTAGGGTGTCATGTCTACAGTGCCATGTCAAGGGTGTCAACATACAGTGACATATCTAGTGTCATGACTAGGGTGTCATGTCTAGGGTGCCATATCTACAGTATCACGTATAGGGTGTCATGTCTACAGTGTCATATCTACAGTGTCATGTCTACAGTGTCATATCTACAGTGTCATGTCTACAGTGTCATATCTACAGTATCATGACTAGAGAGTCATGTCTAGTGTGTCATGGCTACAGTGCCATATCTACGGTGTCATGTCTACAGTGCCATAGCTGCAGTGTCATGTCTACAGTGCCATATCTACAGTGTCATATCCACAGTATCATGTCTAGAGTGTCACATCTACAGTGTCATGACTAGGGTGTCATGTCTAGGGTGTTATGGCTACAGTGCCATATCTACGGCGTCATATCTACAGTGTCATGTCTAGGGTGTCATGTCTACAGTGCCATATCCACACTGTTATATCTAGGGTGTCGTGTCTACTATGTCATGTATAGTGTCATGTCTACAGTGTCATGTTTAGGGTGTCAGGTCTACAATGTCATATCCACAGTATCATGTCAAGTGTGATGACTACAGTGCCATATCTACAGTGTCATATTTATAGTGTCATGTCTATTGTGTTATATCAACAGTGTCATGTCTACAGTACAATATCTACAGAATCATGTCTCGGGTGTCATGTCTAATGTCATGTCTTGTGTCATGGCAAGGGTGTCATGTCTACTGTGTCATGTCATTCCCTCACGATAACGTAGAAGAGAAAAGAAGTCAAATAGGAAGAAAGAAATAATTGGAAGAAAATGAAGAGACCAAAATGAGATACGAGGAAAACATTAATAATGAAGAGGAAAGATAGAAAGAAATGCGAGAGAAAAGTAATTGAAATAAAGTGAAAGAAGAACGAAAGGGAAAAATATATTGAGACATAGGAAGACGTTAAGTAATTGAACAATCAGAATTATCATACGTGACATTAAGAAGAGAGGAATAATGATAATACAAGAGTGAAAAGAAAATGGATAATGGTGATAACAGAGGAAGAAGGTGAGAGAAAATAATTGATAGGATGCAAAATGTTACTGTGTGAGTGGTATAGTTAACACCCAATTATATATCTAGCAATTATATAACAAAAATATATCTACCATTCATATGATAAGTAAATTTATTAAATATAATAATTAACCATAATATATCCACCAATTATAATATAAAATAAATTCTCAATATTACAAGATTATTATATTTCCGATTTATATGATAAAACTATATCATATATGTAATAATAAAGTATATCAATTAATTATGATATAATAACCGAAGTAGATCTGTCAATTATAAGAATATCTGCAAATAAGATCAATTTTATCTAACAATTATGATATGGTAACCAAGTATATAAATTATATTACCAACTATAAGAAAATTATATATACCAAACAGAAGTTAATGGTAGATATATAGTATACTCGTATATACCAGTTACATTATTATAAAAGTAGAATGTCTACTAATTATAAGTTGAAGTATATCAACTAATTATAATAAGTATATTTATCAATTATATTAGAAGATAAGGGAAACACCTAACAATCATACAAACGATAATTTAATAAGTATAAGATAAAAGAGGCATATATAATTATACTACACTAAGAAAATAAGATAGATAGTTAAGATAAAAAGCAATAAATATTCGTAATAGAATGATAACAATTATAGCCCCATCTAACAGCTATACTTGATAAAAAGATAGCCGAATGATTTTGAAATAGAAGGATAGCAGAATGTCTCACAATTATATCTTATAATTATACTGGATATATAATACAGTAACACAGTCAACAATTATTATAGTAGACGATGATAACTAGCATATATGATAATTATACTCGAACATGATGAGTTAGAAGCATATCTAGCGATTATACTCGATATAATATGAAAACAAAAGTATTACACATTATCATTGCAAGTTAACTCAATAGTATATAAGGAAATTATATAGGATATGTCTACCAGCCATCATCTAAGTAATATTCAATATTTTTTTTTTGCTAATTATTTCCCATATTCCTATTTCTTCTTAATTAGTTTCATTCTGTTTTAATTCTCTTTTTCCTCTTATTTAATTTATGTATTTTCTTCTCGGTTTAATATGTCTGTTTATATTCTTTCATCTCCTCCCCTTCCCCCCTTCTCCCCTTCTCCTCACACCTCTCTATATGAAACAACACTGACCCTGCCTGCTACTGCCACACACACACACACACACACACACACACACACACACACACACTACAACATGCATACAAAAGATACAAACACAAATACGGTACATACAAACACACACACACCCACTCATCTCTGTATTGCTGCCAACCACACAGCAAGCACAGCAATCAGCGGTCCAATGCTGGTAATTATCACCGCCATCCAGAAGATCGGCCATGATATATCTGGGTATTACAGGATGGACGGGGCCTAGTCCTGCCCTATACTCCTCACCCTCTGTACCCCTCACCTCCTGTACCCATCACCCCCTGTACCCCTCACCTCCTGTACCCCTCACCCCTTGTACCCCTCACCTTGTGCCCCTCAGCCCCTGTGCACCTCCCCACCTCCTGCCCTCACCTCCTGTGCCCCTCCTCCTGTGCCCCTCACCCCCCCATCTTGCCCCTCTACCACCTGTACCCCTCACCTCCTGTACCCCTCACCTCCCCTGTACCCTGCCTAGCCTCACCTTGGCACCCCTCAGCCCCTGTACCCCTCCACACCCCTGTGCCCTCACTTCCTGCCCCTCACCTCCTGTACCCCTCCACCCCATGTACCCCTCACCCCCCTGTACCCCTCACCCCTTGTACCCCTCAGCCCCTGTTGCCCCTCACCTCCTGTGCCCTCACCCCTGTACCCCTCACCCCCTGTGCCCCTCGCCTCCCTGTGCCCATCACCCCCTACCCCTCTTTCACCCCTCTCCTGCCCTCACCCCCTGTTGCCCCTCACCTCTGCTTCCCTCTGTCTGTACCCCTCACCTCTGTGCCCTCACCCCCTGTACCCCTCTTTCCAACAT